CCCGAACCCCCCCCAAACTACGGGCATGATTTTGCAATCTTCAGAGGTCCATACATTCCCCGACCCTGTTCTTATCAGTCTTATTTCAGTGAACATATGTTTTAATGACACCAATTAGCTCAAAATCGTATAAAAATGTGTTTTATTTGTATCTATTTTGAAATTAATGCATGGTAAAAAAAATGTTTAAATGTAGCTTTTTTGCTAATTATTAACTCGAAATCAGGCCTTGGAATGAACGAGTTTTATAGCGCGCAAGGAGCTGTGGGACAGAAAAATGATATGACCTTAAATGAACTAAGTTCAAAGGTTAGACATATGGCTACCTTTGTTAATCGGGGTATCAAACACACGATATCTGAAATTGTTGTTGCTCTTTTAGCTTGTATGAACTGATCTTGTGGTATGTAAGTTAAGCTTGCATTGGTTCAGATTTTATTTTGCAACGTTACGACTGCAGTGCGCAACAGATTTCCTTTTGTTTATGCTATAGGCCGCTGCACTGGCTGACAGATAACATGGCGAACGTGATGGCCTGTCTTCGTCTTGTCACTGTGGAGCCTGTTATGTTTTTATATATGCTCGGATCATTTCTACAGTACACGAGCGTACAGCAACTCATCTACGCTAAAACTTGTATCCAGGAATACAACAGCTCTGATATATGTAAAAACTTAACCAGCTCTCAAGAAGAATATGTACAAACACAGACTTCACACTGGTTGATATATCTAAACCTTGTTCAGATGGTGCCATCCGTTATAGCTGCACTCTTTCTTGGCTCCTGGTCGGACACAGTTGGGCGTAAATTTTCTATGATTTTGCCGTGCCTTGCAAGTTGTATATATGCCGCAATTCTGATTGTGTCAGTTGTGTACATATACAGCCCGATTCCATTCATATTTATTGGGACATTTCTTCTTGGTTGTTCTGGTGCTTACATCACTATCACCTTTGCTGTATTTAGTTACATCGCTGATATCACAGGTATTAAAACAAGAACAAAACGTGTTGGTATTCTCGAATCAATGACATTTATTGGTAGTACTGTAGGTTTACTCTGCAGTGGTGTTATGCTGGAGCATGAAGGGTTTATTGCTGTGTTCGCATTCTATCTTTCACTCAATTTTGCCTCCGCCTTGTACATCTTAGTTTGGTTGGATGAATCTGTGCACTCAAGAGAGGTCTTAGATTCACTATCCCATGGTGAAACCATACAAATACCGCAGGTAGATACAGGAAAGAGAAGAATTCATACCCTGTGTTCTGAACTATGTAAATTGGAAAATATCAAAAAGACATTGTGTGTATGTTTTAAAAAGAGAGAAAATTTTGATAGAATGCACCTGATACTTCTAGCTATGACTTTACTGTTATTTCAGCTTGTAGGAATTGGTGAGTAAGCATTCATTATTATCCAGGGATTATTTTAAACAAGGGAACAAGGGCACAGCGTCCTCATGCCATGGACATGCGCCCCCTTACCTTGGGGAACAGATCTTCAGGCAACCACAAAATTCTTATTGACCAGGGATCACATGTGGCTGCAGTCTTCAACTGTGACCTGTCTGATAGTAATTTTAGCCCCAAGGAAGCCATAGGATGCTCCATTTTAACTTAGAATTATCAAAAACTCCGCACCCTGGTAGGGAGAACCCTATCTCCCCCACTTGGTGGCGCTGCTGAATTGCAGTGCTCCTTCTTGCAGTTTTTTCCTAGAAAAAACCCTGATTATGTGTTATAAATCACCACTATCAGAATTATCAGGTTTTTATGACGTCATTGCTTAAGAGTATCACATTATTCTTTTAAAAAAATAGACCCCAATTTTAAATAAATGTGTTTAATTCTGATGGTGGTGATTTATAACAACAATAATGAATCTCCCACAATGTCATATTGGATTCAGAGGATTTAGATGTGATAATGTATTCAGCTTGCCTCACATATTAACTGTGGTGCTGTGGGGATTCATTATTTAAATAGTCTTCATTCTCAACAAAGACACACGTTGAAGGTCACTTGGGTCAGAGGTTAAGGGGACACTGGACATACAGTGATGAATGTCAGTGTTTGAAGTCATACCTCTTGATCTCTGACACAGTTTCCACTAATACAAACATTGACAACCAATTAGTATAGATTGTTGCAGTATTTGAGCCAATCTTTTTACAATGATTTACAATCAGATTTAATTTTTTGGGTGAAAATCCAGTAACAATTAATTAGGAATATTTGCATATGAATGGATGTTACAAGATCTGATGCTCAGATTCACATGAAAATTAAGTCATTTAATGTGGAAAAATTGCAAAACTGTTGTAAGTTTTAAAGAGTATCAAAAAATAATATTTTTTCCAGAGCAAGTTCTGAAACTCTTAATTTAGCTTGGTTTCTTGTTTTCTTTCTTTTGGGGATTTGGGGAAAATGTTCCATGCTTCAGTTTTTCTAGTATTCCCAGCCTACTTTGCGCATATGTTTTAGCGATAAATCACTTACTTGAAATATGTTTTCGTCAGAGCTGGAAGGCACTCCTAGCTCATGGCAGTGGGATACGTTCTCATGATATAACGATGCCGAAAAGACCTTGAAAATCATTTTTTATGTTTAAATCAGCCAGTAGTGAATTGATCCAGACATAATTTGCTTAACTCTTAGATTCATTTTGATTCCTTCTTCCACTTATCTACATCTTTTACCCACAATGGGATCACTTCAAGAATATCTAGTTGTCATTTAATTATTTTATGTCTATCGTGTCTATCCTTAATCTTGTTACATGAACAAAACAAGCAATTACTCACTGATGTCACATTCCTTGTAGGGGAGACTGATGTAACTGTTCTGTATACAAAGAGAAATCCACTACATTGGTCTCCAGAATTACTTGGTTACTACCTTGCATTAAACAGTTTTATGAAAGGTCTATGTCTTTTAACTGTGATGCCTTTACTGACCAGTAAGACAAGCTTACATGATACCACAATAGCTATGATTGGTACAGTGTTTCGTATGGCTGGATATGTACTCATAGCATTCTCTACGACAACATGGATGATGTTTATTGGTAAGTGATATTACAATAGCTATGATTGGTACAGTGTTTCGTATGGCTGGATATGTACTCATAACCCATACCCCATTCTTCAACAGAATATTAATTAATATTGTTTTATCTTGATTTTTAGTACCAATATTAATGTGTATGGCTGGTATCCCTGCAGCAGCTGTCAGATCTCTTATATCTAAAATAGTCAATGCAGATGAGCAAGGTATTATTGTTATTTATCATTCCACAAATCAAATGCCTTTTTTAGAAGTGATAAATTACATTAAATGGATCTTCATTTAGACATGAATTGAAGTACTGGTCAAGATTAAGGTCACATGGACAGACTTTTCATCACAAGACGAACCTCAATGCAGTGGACATATAATGTATAGGGCTCATCGTTAATTATTTTGCTGATAGGTAAATGTGTTAAATTAAAACCCAGGAAATAAGCATAGTTAACAATATAATTTTCTGTTTCCTGCAAAAACTAGTGAACATCAAATCCACTAAAATTCAACCCAGTAAATATCTCCCTTCCTGCAGTACTTGTTACAAGCAATGAATCTAATGAAATCAATATCACAAAGCCATTCATATTATCTTCAAAATAAATTGTACAAAGTGTATGTATAGCATACTGATTATAAGACTATTTGATTAGTGTACAATTGGAGCAGTTCTATTTATCAGTATGTATTTTTGTTTTAACTCATAGGTACTTTATTTTCCTTCATGGCGGCTTGTGAAAGTATTGTAGGTTTTCTTGCATCATTCGTATTCAACTCAGTCTACCCTGCAACATCACATATACTGACTGGTGGATTTGTCTATTTATTAATGGCCGTTATACTAGTCATAGCATTGGTCTTGTTATTGTAAGTATTCTCTCAATGATGCAGATTTATTTTATTCACTAAAACTAATTCCATTCAAATTAAGTTATCAGAATTTTAATAGGCTTGCATGAGCTAACAATAGTTACTGTTTTGTTTTCAGCTGGGTTGGTGACAGCAAGAGAAAACTAAATGCCTACAGTGCATTGGTTGAACCAGCGAATTCTGACACCGGTGCCAGTGAAGATTGTCGTGATGTTTGACTGCAAAATAACCTGCCACCGAATTATTCAATTAATTGCAGTGTAGTTTGAAGTTACAATAATTACTCAAAAACATGTTCTCTTACCCACAGCTACAAAATCTACAGTGATGAAGCTGTAGTCATAAACAAAATAATTGAAGCTGTACATGTAAGGTAGATATATAAAGTTGTGTTTGAGAGTGTGCAAATTAAAAAAAGAATTGCAGCATTGCGACATTTCATTGTTCTACTAGAAATATGTGGATGTGCAGATTTCAGGGTAGTAATTTTCACAAATTACTACACATTTAATAAATCCGATATTGTAGGGTCACTCTGGAGATTTTCTCTCATATCGCATCTTTTATTTTACGCATGCCTTTGATTTGCAGCCACATGAAGTCACACTTGCAAAATATCATCAGACCTTGGAATCAAATCAATACTTTATTTACAAAACAAAACAAAACAAAACAAAAACGTATACTGCAATGAAAGATGTTTATGACTAGATTGAATACATTCCACATGTGTGAACATTGTTTACATAATTTGTATTTAGTGTCAGAAGTACTGTATTATTGTGTTAATCTAGTCCAGAATGTAAGTTTCAAATGAGGCCTAGAAATCATTTATATTTACTTCATTGTATGGCAAACATTTTCATATTTATTGACTATCTAGATATTTTGTTACCTATTTCAAAAAGTCAATGGAATTTTCCGTTAAATGAAATAAACAAAAAATATTACCGGTATTTTTGGACGTGAGCTCAGACTAATCTAATGCAAGTACTCTGATAAAATTTTGAGGACGAAAAAAATAAATATGTTTGCATCTACAATATGTTGCCAAATGAAAATACACTGTCCCTATTGTGAACTATAATTGTATTGTGACAGTAGTCTCATAGTGCACTCATTATTTATATCCCATTTAAATGAGATGATAGTTTAGTTGCAATTAATTTATGTTTCTTTACTAACTTTTTTTTCATCAATATTGAAAATGACCAATGAAATCAATACAACAAAATGTGTACAATGTGCTTCTGGGAACAACTGCTGCCAAGACTACTGTCATCAGTGAGGTCCCACTTTCCAGGATTCTTCCAACTGGCTGACATAAAATGAAGCCATTTCGGATTGAATGATTCTCAAATTTAATTTGTATCGTGAATGAAAGCATGGAACAGATGGTGCGGTCATACCTATATCAACAGCATTAACTACATATCGACAAACTGGGGAAGAAGCTTGATTTCATTAGATACCACTATCCAATGAACTGAAGTGTTGGGAAATTAAGATAGCTATGATTGGTTAGAATGTCTATTAAATACAGGTATTCTATTCAACTGCTGTGACATAATAGCATCAGCTTTAAGTGGGCCAGTGTGTCTATGCATATGATATAAGAGTCTTTCTTCTAAGAATTCAACAGCTTCCAGTGTGAGCACCAATGTTTCGTGTTTTAACATGCTATACACATTCAAACCTGCAAATGTAATCAAAACAAGACATTACAAATCCTTAGTGAATAATAGCTAGTACCGTAAGAAAGAAGAAGAAATAAAATCATACACTAGACTGAAAGATGTTGCCATGTTCAATATTAACAAGAAATTTACCCTAAATAATTGAAGTACACTTACAAGACCCCCCCCCCCCCCCCCGCCCACAAATAACTCAAGTTCTTACCTTCAGTTGGCATAACATTATAGGTCCTAATTCTGTTGACGGCTTCAACAAAGTTGAGTGGCATATCTTCCAAAGGTTTACTGTAGAGGATTCAAGCAAGAAGTTAAATCAACAAGCAGCCTCTCAGCTGAGATAGCTCCACTGTTACCAATGCACATTTCAATTAAAGAACAGAAGATATCATTAGAAAATGAACAATATGTAGACTTGCTGTTTTTAAGAATTCAAAAATAATCATCGAAATTAGATAATTGAAGATATCACCACGAAATTAACAAATCTGACATGTAGTACCTATATATGTACCGGTAATATAAAAGCAATCAGACTTGTGGTTTTTAACAAGAAGTCAAAAGTATCACTTTTTAACAAAAATTACAAAAATATTCACTTAAATTAGAGAATTGAAGATATCATCACGAAATGAACACATCTGAGAGAGGTCCACATGTAGTACCTATATATGTAATATCAAAGCAATTGGACTGGCGGTTTTCAACAAGTAGTCGAGAATATCACTTTTTACCAAAAAATTACAAAAATATTTATCAAAATTAGAGAATTGAAGATATCATCATGAAATGAACAAATCTGAGAGAGGACCACGTGTAGTATCAAAGCAATTAAACTTGCGGTTTTTAACAAGAAGTCGAATATATCACTTTTTACCAAAAATATTTACCAAAATTAGCGAAATAAAGATAACATTACAAAATGAACAAATCTGAGAGAGGTCCACATGTAGTACATATATATGTAATATCAAAGCAATTGCACTTGCGGTTTTTAACAAGAAGTCGAAAATATCACTTTTTACCAAAAATGACAAAAATATTCATCAAAATTAGAGAATTAAAGATATCATTACAAAATGAACAAATCTAAGAGAGGTCTACCCAAGGTACATATACACCAAGTATCAAAGCATTCAGGCTAGTAGTTTTCAAGAAGAAGTCGAAAAAGTAAAACATTGACACGGACGACAGACGACTGACAATCACTCATATGATAAGCTCTGCTCGACGGAGCTAAAAATATGTATCAAGTTT